TTGATTTTGAAAGAGATATTAGTTTAGTTAAATCTGGTCAAACAAGTGAAGATTTAATTTATCAAAAAATTGTTGGACTTAAAGATGATTTATCTGGACCTCAAAATACACCGGCAATATTAGAAGATGATGATAGTGATGATAGTAATAGTAGTACATCAGAAAAAGAAAGTATTGGTTCTGAAGAAAAAAGTAAATTTACTAATTCTGCTAGACCTAAAAATGAAGATGCTGAAAGCAAACGAGTAAGATTTTAATACTTAAAAAAAAGTTTAATGGATTAATATTTATTTTTTATGTGTATGATGTATTTATTTAGCTAAGAAAAAAACAAGTAAAAGATGAAAAAGCAGATAAGAGAAAAGTGAAATTAAAAAAACATTTGAAAAAGAGAAAAGAAAAAACAACACAATGCAGAAAAAAATAATTATTTAATTATTAAATATAATTTAATAATTTATTATTAAAGGTTTTGTTAATAAAATGTTATATATTTTTATTCTTATTTTGTCTTTTGATCTATTTTTTTAAATTTCATATACTAAAAATAAAATAGATAAAGATAACTGTACTGTGTAGCTTGTTGTATGAGAAATTTGAAAGATTAATTTTTAATATTATGTTGTAATTTGAATAATTACGCAATTCGTTAGGGATAATATTAAAAATATTTAAACCAACGTATAAAAAAAAAGATGGCTGTGAAAGATCTGTGTACTTAGAAGTAATAATATTCTTTATAATAAATTATGAAATCAAGTATAAATTATAATTTATTACTAAATGTTAAATGTTTGAATTCTTAATGGATTTTAAGAATATTGAAAATACATAAAATATTATGCATTATTTTTTTTTGTAGACATTTTAAGTTAAAATTTTGACTAAATCAGATTTATAAAAAAAATTATCTTCTTCCAATGGTTTTAGTTACTTTGTTGCACTTCTTAATCAAAATATTACCAATAGTGAAATTCAAACGTTGAAACCGCGAAATTATGTTCATTATTATAATTTATAATATTCATTTCTATGCTTAATGAAATTTTTAATATTTAGTCTAATTATAATTTATAAGCTACAAATACCAGTCATATAGTGTTATAGTAAAAAATACTGTTATAAATTCAAGAAATTTTTGATAAAAATTAGTTAAATCTATCATACTACTAATAGAAAAATGAATTATTATTTTTGTGTTGCATACTTTAAAAATTAATTATCTCAATAACTTAATAAAATAAACAAAAATCCATACAAATATTTAGTTCATTATCCGTATAATCTGCTTTTGCTTGAATTTAAAGAAAAATCACATTTGTTTTTTAAGAGCATTTGAAGTTTAAACTATACCTTAAAATTGTTATACTTAAGATAAATTTACTTACTTGCGCAATATTTATATACTTTTAATATTAGTTTTTAAACTAATTAAACTTAACAAAAAAAATTTTCTATGCAAAATAGTATGTTAATTAAATGAGTACTCTATAATAATATGATTTGGGCAGTAAAATATTATGCTTTAATGGTTCAGTAATTAGGTATGTAACATTTTTTTTTATTACCCAATGGCTATAAAATGTTGATAATTAATTATAGTTCTGTGAAGATGTATATTTAACACATTTTGCAGAAATAAGATTAGATGAACCTTCTTTTTTTTTTTTTTGTCATATTTATTTTATTTGTACAATTTGTATAAAATATATTTACAACAAACACAATAGATGGATATGTAATAGGTCATGGTTGGCTTAAGTGAAAAAGCTATTCAGTAATAGCACTTCATGATATGGATGGTAGTGGTTACTGGTTAGTCAACTAGTCGGCTTATTGACTAGTAGATCACGGCACCAGCTACTCTTTAAACGTCGCCCGGGGGAGTGTTCAAGAAGCGAGTTTTTAGATGAGACGGTTACAATGATTTAATAGATTAAAAAAATAAAATAAATAATTATTTTATAATTGATTATTAAGTTAATAATATAAATTTTTATATTAATAAGTTAATATAAAAATTAATAATTAATAATTTTTTTTTTATTATTAATAAGTTCACTAACAATCAATAAAAATGAATAGAACATTAATAATAAATGTGTTTTTTACTATAAAAAACTATAGAACAACTTCTATAGGTAAGTAAGAAGGGGAATAATTGTGAAGATCTTATGTTGAAAACTGGAATTACATCAAAACTAAAATCAGAAAATTAAATTAAAAAAATAATTTATAACAAAAAAGAAGAAAATATACAATTAACAAAATTAGGTTGAGGAGCAAACAGCTTAGAATGGGTTCCCAAAAGTATTTTTTTCAACTGAAATGTACTCGAAGGTTCCTACAATTTATTTGTGTAGATAAGTGTCAACATTCGAAACGAAGTATTTGCTAAAAACAAATTTCACAAATAGCTGTTATTTATCAGTAATAAGTTAATACCGATAAACTTTAATTGTCTCTGTTATAGCTGATACAAATAGCTTAAAATTAATCCAAATATTTTAAAAATGTTATCAGGTAAAAATAGCGGTTTTCATTATTTTGTTTTAATTTATTATTCATTGGGACTTAAAATTTTCCCCTCAGTATAACCACCTGATAACATTTTAAAAATATTTAGATTCATTTTAAGCTATTTGCATCAGCTATAGGTAACAGAGACAATTAAAGTCTATGATACTTACATCGGTATTACCTTACTATTGATAAATAACAGCTATTTGTGAAAAATTTTTTTGGCAAATACTTCGTTTCGAATTTTGACACTTTTCTACACAAATAAATTGCATTAACCCTCGAGTGCATTTCAGTTGAAAAAAATACTTTTTGGAACCCATTCTAAGCTGTTTGCTCTTCAACCTAATTTTACTTTTTACTACATACAACAGGCCTTAGAACCTTACCATTAGACATTCTGCATTAGGTATATGTAATAATAGTAAAACCTAAAAATTATCTAGTTTGACATAGAAACGATAGTAAGTCGACGACGTCTTTCTCTTTGAATATGGTAGGTAGATACCTAACGTCGTTATTGTCTCAAAGTAATACAAACCAAAAGTAATTACAATTAACACATTAAAAATATAATGATTATAATATAAAAAATTATAGAATATTTGGTAAGGTATACTAATCCACTACCGTAGTCTCTTAACCGGAAGCGAATATGAGACCGATAGAAAGCACATCATCTATGATGTCACCCGACAAAAATATAGGTAACAAATGTTGGTCTTCTCTGAAAAAAAATCAATATTCAAATCAAATCTCAGTCATTACTCATTGCTTAAACCATATTACATAGTCCGTTAGATCCTAATGATCCCAATGCTATCGAAGCTATATGATTGTAATCAAAACTGGAATCTTATATAGCCATATAGGTGTCAAAGTACTAATTCCAAAAATATATGGAATCACTAGAGAGAAAAAAATAAAAAATAAGTAATTTCCATGACTTTCTTTGTATGCTAGTCTTCATTGTCAAAAACCCTTTTACCGGACTATTTATGGATGAGTAGCCGAGTAGGTACTTTGCGTTGTTGTAAAAATTTGCAAAAAATGTTTTATATTGACAATGTATGAATTGTTCGTAGATATTTAATCGTCTGCAAATGCGTTTAACAATTGGGTTTTTCATAGATAGGTAGACCACTCTTCATTTAAAAACTAGAATCTTCCTTTAAAAAACAAGCATTTTTTTGTGTGCTAAAGCAGAACCTCACTAGAGTTTGTCGTTGTTTTTTTACAATTGGCATTTCCGATGAAGCTTGGCATCTGTCTTAGAATATGACATCACATCAGTTTATTTTTTCTAGTAGAACTGGAGCAATATTAGATAATTTGGATCTCAAATTATTTCATTGAAATCTTAATACACTCGTGAATCCTAATGAAATATAGCTTTTTTGGCTTTTGCACAAGTTCAGATTCTGTGCATAGAATAACAGTATATTATTAATTATTATAAGAATTGCAACTTAAGTAATTGTATTTACAAAACATGGTAAGTACATTGCTATGCATAATATATTTTAATTTATATGTATGTAATTTGCTTATTTTCCCGACAATAAATTATCGTGAGAAAATGACAAAATTAGAATACATCTAATTTATTTAAAACTTTGTACGATAATAAATAAATTATTATGCATTATTAGAGCACAACTTCAATTTTCAACTCATTAGTACAGCGCTCCGAAAACTTTATGAAATGCAATATAACATACAACTTTTCAGTTTTCTCATCAGTTATCACTTAATCATAAATCTTACGAAAAAACAGAACAGGACGTGCCTGAGATTATTAAGCCTGGCTTTGAACAGCTATAATTTATTGTACTATTCATTGGACATCCAACTTTACACCACCACAAACTAAATAGGTTTATTGTGTTATAATAACGTTATTGATAGAATATTCTGCATTTGTAGTTTGTACAAATAATTTAAATGATTTTAAATAGGTATAGCTTATCAATTATTACAATATCTAATTTTTTTTTGTATTTAAAATTAATATCGATTACAATTTATATTTTGTTCTTCCACTCATCGAAGTTTATTGCACATCGATTCGTCATTTAGTTTTGTTCGTTAATACTGTGGTCTGTGGTTATAGTTTTGCACGTATAACCATAGCAACTATTTATTTTTTTTTATTGTAACTATTAAACAAAACCCTTGTAATAATATGTATTTTATATGGCCGTGGCTTCATAATGTAAGCATGTTGCATTGTAAGAATCATATTAAAAAAAAAATAAAATTTAATCATTTATTTATGGTATAGTTTATCGATAGTGTAATATTACGATTTCGATTTCAAAAATCCATTGATAAATATAGATCGATTATTATCATTTATCAAATAGAATCCCAGAAACCAGGTTATGCAACCTCGTGACCTATGATTATTAAAAAAAATCATAATTTATCTTAACTTTATTATTGCTAAACGCCGAATGCCGATAATGCTTTTTTTTTACTCATCTCTAAACTTTTTGGGATTTTAGTAAATTATTTTTAATTTTAGCTTATAGTTCGCCCTTTTTAAATTCTTACTAGATTATCGATTCTTAACTTACTTGTCAACATTTCAATTAAGTCTTTTCAAACTACACTTTCTATTACACCTTAACAATCATGAGTGAAACACCGAAAATTCCAAATGAGCAACAAGCAAACACAGAAGTCACCAAAACTAAAAAGTAAATTGAAGGAGAAGTATATAAATTGTGCTTGTTTTTAATTTAATATTTATTTTGCAGAAAACGAAATAGAAATCGTAAAAACAATGTTAAGGCAGAACAAAGCACTCAGAATGGAACTGTTGAGGAAACTACTCTGCCCTCTACTATTTCTATTCAAGTTAGTAGTTTTTGTTAAATTAATTGCAATTAAAATCGTGAGTATTAAATAAACACAATAATTAAATGATATAATTACTTTTGAAGTGTTTAATTGCACCTATGTATACAACTTTTTTCCTAATAATCTAAATCAAATATTTTTATTACTTGATTTTAATTATGCTTTATGATAATGAATAAATCAAAATATTATATATCAATAGTCACTGTAAACTTTATTACAGTTTTAATTTGTTTTCTTTAAGTAGATATAGAAAATAGTTTTTTTGTAAAAATATAATGATATTCAATTTCTACTATTTACAACTGTTACATTTTACAGGATATTCAAAAAGCAATGGAAGTTTTCTCACTTCAACAAAGAGCAGCTAAAACACCAGAAGAGGCCTTACATAAACAATATCGTTTTTGGTACACTCAACCAGTACCTAAAATGAGTATGTAGTCTTTACCTGTTTTTATTTAAATAATATCTGTAATAATAGTATTATTGAAAATTGGTTAGTATTTTAACTACATGAAATATCAACATATATTAGCATATATCACTTTAATTTATTATCTGCTTTAAAGGTAAAATAAAAGATAGATAAGTAATCTGATTGGTTTGCTTAATAATATATTTTATAGTTTATGAAATGTATAATATTATTGCCTGATAGTCATTTTTAACTATAAATTGTGACATTACAATTAATTGAATTAAAGTAATTTACACCCTGATCAAAAATATATTATTTTTATTTTTGCTTAATTTAAATAAACAATTGAATAATATGTGATACACACACATTGTTAGGATTATTATTTATGTAATACAATTTTATTTTTATAATTCGTATAATTATTTTAAGTTTTATTATTATTTGATAATCAATAATATTTAATAAAATGAATCAATGATTAAATTTAAAATGGATTTGAGTCTATTTTGATTTTAGACAGTGTTATTTAGTGTCAAAATTATATAAGTAAAAAATAAAATAAAACTTGTCGTGTTACTGTTATAAGACTTACAAATTTTAGGAAGTTTTTTTTATCTCTCATACTTTCAAACTATTGTAATAAAACACTATCATTAAATTCAGTTTTTATATGGATTTTTTTAAATTTTGTTACATAATAATATTAAGTGACATTTAATACAACATTTAATTTAATAAATGTTTATAGGTGAAAAGATAGTTACTGATGGTCCAATTGAAGAGGATAAAACAATAGATCAAATTAGAAAAGAGCCGTTTACATTGCCTGATGGTTTTCAATGGGATACACTTAGTCTTGATGATCCTTTTGTTTTAAAAGAATTGTACACATTATTAAATGAAAACTATGTTGAAGATGAAGATAGCATGTTTCGATTTGATTATCAGCCTCATTTTTTGAAATGGTATTTTTAATATTCATGTGTAAGTTGTTCAAAATTTATATTGTTTAATTAATAATAGGGCTCTTCAACCTCCTGGATGGTTAAAAGAATGGCATGTTGGAGTCCGAGTCATTAAAAGTAATAAATTAGTTGGTTTCATTAGTGCTATCCCAGCTTTGCTTAAAGTTTATAACAAGTAAATAAAATTTATTATTTATTTTATAACCACTTAATAAAACATTGATCTTTTTTATGTAGGTCTCAAAAAATGGTTGAAATTAATTTTCTTTGCGTTCATAAAAAATTACGTAGTAAAAGAGTAGCTCCAGTTTTAATTCGTGAAATAACTAGACGTGTGAATCAAATGGGTATTTTTCAAGCTGTTTATACAGCTGGAATTGTTTTACCAAAACCTATAGGAACTTGCAGGTAATTAAATAAGATTGCTTGTAATATTATAAAATGTTCACTATTAATCATATTATTAATGTTTTAATGTCAAATATATTTAATAGATTATTTTTTTTTACTATAAAATAAATTTATTTTATTTTTTGATAATCAACATAACATGGAACTTTGGATTATCATATACTTTTCAAGAATAACTATTAAAAAATAAAATATTAAAACTTTGAAATAAATAAAGAGTAGTGAACATTTTGTTTATGTTGATTGAAATTATATTGTTTAGATATTGGCATCGTTCTTTAAATCCAAAGAAGTTAATAGAAGTTAAGTTTTCTCACTTAAGTCGCAATATGACTATGCAACGAACATTAAAGTTACATAAACTTCCTGATTCAACACGTACTCCTGGATTTCGCAAACTGACTGAAAAAGATTTGACTCAAGCTCGAAAATTACTTTCTAGTGTTAGAATAGATTATACTTACATATAATGAAATCAAAGATATAATATTTATTATTTTACTTTTCAGTATATGAAAACCTTTGATTTGTCACCCATATTTTCTGATGAAGAATTTAAACATTGGTTTCTGCCTCAAGAAGGTATTATTGATGCCTATGTTGTTGAAAATAATAACAAAATTACAGGTAAATTGTACTTACTTTAAGGAGTCACTACATTTGTTTTAAACAACTAATTCATGTACTGGATTTTTATTACATTTCATAGTTGATATTAAAGTAAATTTATTTATTTAACGTTGTAGGGAAGTATATAAATTGTACTTTTGCTTAAAATTTTTTTCTACATTTTATTTATAAAATGAATTGTAAGAACTTGGTATTTTTTCAAATTCTTGTTACTTGTTTTAAAATTAATATAAATGTAGAACTCTTTGGCCACAGTTTATATTTTCTTCTTAAAATTCTATAATTTATCATAAATTTGCTTTAATATTAACTATGATTAAATTGTCCAGTGAAAAAAAACACTGCAGATTGATGAAAAAATAATTTTTTATGCATCTGACACTGCCATAATGTAAAGTTTTGAAAACAAAGTGTATTGTGAAGATGCTCAAAATCGATATATTCTCTTGCCAGACAAAATATAGTAGTAAAAGTCTAGTATGTAGATTTGCTACCTAATAAGGGATCCAAGTATGTATAAAATATATACATTGTGGCCATTGTGCATACAAAATTATGACTATAACACTTATTTTAATTAATATTAAATAATTTAGGATATTGGATTTAAGATAAGTTAGAATTTTCCATTAGATATAAACTTTTTCTACTGTATAGTCTATAATCTAAATACATTAGTTTATGATTAATTTTTATGTATTCTTATTAGAGTTAGTATATATTGTTAGTATTTTTTTATCATTTATAATTTATACATTGTTACAGATTTAGTTAGTTTTTATACTCTTCCTTCGACTATTATGCATCATCCAACTTATCGTACATTAAAGGCAGCATACTCTTTTTATAATGTGTCTACTAAAACACCGTGGGTTGATCTTATGCAAGATGCTCTTATTTCAGCTAGAGATGTGAGTTACGCTATTGATAATAATATTATTGTTATTTTAATATTAATTCAATTATTTTAATTTAATTATTAGGCTAACTTTGACGTGTTCAACGCCTTAGACCTTATGGACAACAGGGAATTTTTAGAACAACTTAAATTTGGAGTTGGAGATGGAAACTTACAATATTATTTATATAATTGGAAATGTCCTGAAATTGATAGTAATAAGGTAATAATTTGATATTTAATAATTTAATTGTACATATGTCATTTAAATTAAATTAATTATTTTACAGATTGGATTAATCCTTCAATAATAAGTATCACTGAATAAATGTTGATTTATCTGTGTACAATATATGAATAATAATTTATCCCAACAACAATTGATTAATAATGTAAGTTATATTTATAAATATATATTTTTTTTTCTTTTTTAAAATGTTCAGCAATTTAATAATTTTTTAACTGGTAAAATATAAATTTAAAATAGTGCAAACAAATTTAATACTTAAGTTTTAATGAATGTTAATTGTTGGTTAGGGAAGAAAAAAATAGACAGTATATTACTGTGTAGTTATTAAAAGTAGCAAATTTCTCTGTCACAATTTTTCATATTAATTTATAATAGGTTTTGGAATTTATTTGTAAAGGTAGTTTATTATTGATATTACCTATTAAAATTAATGTTCATCTATAAAATATTTTGTGAATTTATTAAACCATTTATTTAATAAAACATGGTTTTTGATACTCTAATAAATTGTCTGATATTTGTTAAATGTGATATCTACAAATTGTTATGTGTACTTATTGATTTGAATTTTTGAAATGATTCTGAAATACAAAATTGTTTTATTTTTCCATTCAAATAATTTAAACTCATAATAACAAATTTGTGGCTATATGAATATGCTATTAATATAATTTAAAAAATATATAATTTCATTGGATATTTTATAAAAGAGTATTGTCATTAAATATTTTTAAAACTAGTCACGTCTACATTATATTTATGTGGAAAATATTTAATAATCATCTTATTCTATACTGCTATGTTTTTATTTTATAAATAAATTAATAAAATACAAATATTTTACAATACTATGTTACTCTGATTTCATATCCACTATAAATTAAAAATTAACATCCATGTTAAAAAAAAATATATTTTGCCGTAAACTTGATTATTAAAAATATTTTTCTTTCATTTCATATTTTACCTGAGTTAACAATTCAGCATCGATATTTTTTCTTTTTACACTCAGTAGTACTTAACACAAAATAATGAAGAATATTTTATTTTTTTAATAAATAATTATTTTTGTACATTGCAAGGAAGACATTGATAACATACATTAACTCAATGTACTTAAATCAACTTGTTTTACTTTATATTTTATTGCAACATTTTATTAACTCTCATGAATATATTTAAATATTTTTCTAAATAATGGTACATGATAAACTTCATTATTCATTTCTATGCATTGTAGTTGGATTATTGAAAAATATATGAAATATACCAACAAAAAAATTTATTCTGGTTAAACGTAATTATTTTAATAATACGTTCTTAAAATTAAAAGTAGGTAATAAGATAAAATTATAGTTAATTCATCATTGATTTAAACTGATATTGGAAAACTTGTCTTTACTTGTTATTCTACATGTATATTTTACTTGGTTTGTGTAATATATATAGTTATGTCACTATAAAGAGTTAATTGATTTCGTTTTTTAATTATCTAGGGTTATTAGTAAAATAGTAGGGTTTGTGTAAAATGACTTGGTTTAAAGGTATGGACAGAAAAATACAGGTGTTAAACTGAATTTTAATTATTTAAAAATTTGAATTCATATATATTGTATTATATATAGGATGCTTTTATTCATTTAGAAATACAGTGGAAACATTGGTGTAACAAATTTCCAATTGTTTTATACCAAAATTGAATGTATTTTTATAAAATAGGTTAAAAATAATCTACTCAACTCATTAATAAACCCAGAGTACATTTTCTAAAAGAAGGTAAAATTAAGAACTTATCTTACATAGTTTATTTTATAGTTATTGTCTTATTAGTTGATTATTTTCATTAATTTGCAGCTTATAAATTATTATTCTTATTTAAGACTGTCAGATACACTTATAACTTTACTCTTTGGTAATATTATTTTGATTATTAAATGTTAGTATACAAAGTGTATTGACTAAGATTTTTCTTATGGTAATATATTCATAAATGGGGATGAGCTAGATGTAAATATTTATTAAAGTTAACAGTCAGCAGCCGACTATATGCAAGAGAGCGATTGAACTACACAGCAGGTGTCGGGGTCAACTCAATAAAAAAGACTCACTGATGTTGACTGATCCCAGCACAACAAAAACTTATGGTTGACTGTGTTTCTTAATTTTAACAAAATATACATTATTGTTTACCCATTAAATATGAAAAATTAAAAATACATTCAACATTTTTTATAAAATTCTTTGTGGCTTGTGCTTCAGATAACCTTAATAAGATACAAGATATTATACCTTAAGTATTTTTTTAATAAATTAAATTATAAAACTACAATATAGACTGATTTGTAGGGTTCAGATTTGAAGACATAAGCTTTTTTTTAATAACTATATAAAAATAATTTTTACATAAAAATGTGTGTCATTTAAAATTTAAAATGATGAATGTATTTTTTTCCCTTTTTTTACTTATAGATGCCTTTTTTTGTGTTTAATTCTCGATGAATTTAATAGTTTTATAAGCAACATACGTCTCAACGGTACAAATCGATAAAATCTTCTGAAGACGGTGCATTGTCATTTGTCAATTATTTTTAATGGGTTTTATTATCTGCAATATTTATTGATATTGCTAAATACTTTATCAAGTATTTGATATTAATGTTTATAAAGTACCCATACTACGTATCTTTAGATTAAAATATGTTCATAATGCGTAGATACTAGTTTCAAAATTGTTCGTCAGTCCACAATTTTCTTTTTAATACAAACTAGTTAAATATACAGTATATAAACTATTTAATTTTTTAATAAATTTTGCGATTGCTTTTTTTTTATAAATTAAATGTTTTTTTTTACCTGAACACTTATTGAAAAAAATCTATGGTTATTTATTTTAAAATTATAATTTATTATCAAAAGCCAGATTGATTTTCTCATAAGCTTTTCTTCTGTGAATTGTATTTTCTTCAATTATTTTAAAAAATCATGTAAAAACAAGTAAACTGACATAATATGGTATAAGAAATACACACACAAATTATATATAATTAATTTATGCTAAAAGACAAAAGTTTGTTAAAGATAGAAGTATCCAAAATATGCTTTTAAATCTTGATATAATTAAATAAATAAACACAACTTAATTTTTGTATTATATATTTCAACTTTTACTCTTACAAAGTTTAAATAATATAATTTCAAATTAAAACAAGTAAAAATAAATCTTGAACACATAATAATTATGTAAAATATAATTATGAATAACAAAATAAAATGTTAAAATTGTTATATACAATGTAATATTTACAACAAAAATTTTGGTTTTAACTTTTCATTAAATATATTACCATTTATTATACATATAAATGTATATAAATGATATTATCTTTATTATTAATTATGAATGTTTAAAATTGGCTTAAGATCACAGTTTTAAAAATAAATTAATTTTACATTAATTCATAATAACACAAAACAAAATTAACCATTATAGTCCATCAATCAATTGTTAATAAAATTTTCATAAAATTAATTTAATAATTAAATCAAATTTCATCAAAATTGATTGAATTAAACATTTCAGAATTAATACATATAAAAGTACACATATTATTTTTTAAATATATAAATTTTTCCGTAAATAAATAAACTATTAGAAAGAAAAGTAGAAAAGTAAAATTATTATTGTATGATTGATTGTGTATGAGTTTAAGATGTTAAATAAAAGATAATCTATTATTTTGGTTATCGACAAAATTAATAAACAATAAGAATAATGAACAAAGTAAGACAAATAAAGCTAAACATTAAAACTAAAAATAAATGAATTTTATAAGTATTGGGCACCAATAACTGAAGAGATTCATATTAATTGTTGTGTAACAATTGTGTTCGAAACAATGTCCATAAATTAGTAATACCTTGTAAATAGTTTAAATCAATTTTACCATCAGCTGGAGTTACATGTGCAAAATCTATTAATGATACTCTTATCAAAGGATAAGTGTTTTTGTCGTTTTTTAATGTTTCTGCGTCATATACTAACAAAACCGAACTAGAGTAAAAATGGTAATGTTTTTGAGTTTGGAAGTATCGTCTTATGTGATCCAATTGGGCTGTAAAGCTTTGAACTAGTTTTTCTAGACCTAGATATCCACTGTTAAAGTTTAAAAATGTCTTGAACACTGAAATATTAAATTGTATGTAGTAGAATATAAAGATTATTATTACTTAAATTAATTATAAAAATAATACCAGAGATAACTTTTCCTGGATCTAAACTTTTGCCAAATTCTTTATCATATTTCTGTGGCTGTACCAAATTGGAACTTGATAAATCGTACACTTGAAAACCTGGTATACAAAAACTCCATTGCTCTTTACATTCTGTATATTTAGCCTAAACATTTTTTTAAATATAAACAATAAAATGTAAATATATAAATTACAGTGACCTTCATTCAAAACAAGTTGTATAATTTTATAATATAATATGTATAGTATGTACTAGTATTGTTAAGTATATACATTAATAATTTTAAATTTAAATAAACATGTTATATTAAAGAAACAGGTTTCAGTGTATAAATTGTGTTTCAATTAATCGCTTAATTGAATACACTTAAAGTTTTGTCGGGATCTTATTTTCCCGTTAAATTAATTTTTATACAGTATGGGTTGAGATGTTTTCCTGTATGGTCTACCAGGCTAAATAATATTATGCATACTGAACATAATATAAATATTTATATATTTATGTCTACTGCTAACAATTTGTATTATTTGAATGCTACATAATTATTAAACATTTTATTTTGATATTAAGTAAATACACAATAGATACTGTAAAATTGGTTTGAATTGTTTATAGAATGTGATATACCTATATGGCGGATACATATTATTTATTAAATTAAAAATATTAATAAGCATAATGGATAATTATTAATTTTTAGTACTTAGTATAACTAAATAATCATTTTGCTTAATGAATGAATTTTACGTATTTCAATGTAATTACATTTTCATCATTTTTTTTCTTTTCTGAACATCCAGGTTCCCATGTCTGTGAACCAATTTTAACATCCATCACACACGGTTTTTTCATGCCTGTGGTAATATCATCCAAAACAATGAATGTCATGTCTATATAAAAAATAAATTTAATTTAATTATGCTTAAGTACATACAAATTATTTATACATTTTATAATATTTATGGTAAAAATCAAAAAAAATAAATATAAAAGGTAAAAGTTAATATTAATCCACTAACCTAAAGAATTTATTTGAACAGCAACAGTACCATAATATAATGGAACTAATTTTCTGAGATTTATTAGGCTTTCATTTTTTAATAATTCTTCATAAAATCGTACTTCATTCTTTCCTTTAGTACCACCTTCTACTGATTTCAATATATAACCTTCTTTATGTTTCAATAAACCTATAGGGAAAAGCAAATATACAACTTTTTATAAGTTAGTTTTATAAACAAACACTTCTTAACATTTACAAACCTAACAATGGTTTTTCTTTGGTAAATTTATGACCTCCAACTTGGTTATCGTATGGAAGTAGATCGTCTGAATCCAACCACTTAGCCATGACTACTACTATGAAATAAAATTTTTAAAATAAACTATATCTATTAGGATTTTAAAATATAGTAAAATCATTAAAAAAATATGCATGAAATACTACAAACCTTGTGCGAAGTTTGTAATGCCCTTGTATTTTCAGTTTACATGAATTGATGACAGGACTTCTGTTATACTAAATTACGACCATATAAATACTAATTGATTGTTATAATTATATTATTACACTATTTACATTTTTTTTTTTTAAAACATTAACAGAAGAAATCAATGAGATTTGGAAATTTAAAAAAATTCTATACTCTAAATATGATTATTAATCGCTTATGTGCTGAATACGTCGATAGATATCACTTTAGATTGCAAAATCCTTTCAAACACACGACATGCTTAAAAATGACCACTTATAGACAAAGCATTCAATTATATTGAATTGTTGCTTCAGAGTTTATGACATGGTTTTCAAGACCAAGACGAAACACGAAACAAGAAAATACGGACATATGTTTCATGAGTGATAACTATTAACTATATAATCACTATAAAAAAAAATAGTCTGCTATCCTCCTAATCGTCATTCGATAAGATATTGTGTATTAAAATTTGTTGTTGAATCACAAACGATGTTGACGCGCTATCTATGAATTCATTTTTGAACAACGTTGGTCATATCCACTACTATAATAATTATTAATTATTAATTAATATTAAATATATTTTAGTAAGAATTTTTTTAGTCTATCTATAAAAATAAATAATATCTATATGCTATTGCGTCAGTTGAGTATTTGCATCCCATTGGAGAAGTCTTAGAAGAACTGAAGAATCAAGAAAGTACTGCAATGTGTCAAAGTAACTAGTTGTCCACAGCCCACACTCATAGGCGTGTGCAGTCTCCGGTTTAAGGAGCAGCAAGAGATAAATTTAGCCCATTCTTCAAATTTACCTTTAAAACTGTATTGGTTATTTGTTTTTTTGGATAAAAAGTTGTACAGTAAGGTTCTAAACCAATAAAGGTGTATTTTTCCGCAAGCACCATGGCGTATTGGCATACAATACACAAGTCGATACCTAACATTAAAAACAAAGTTTATTTTTAAATTAATTAATTTTTTATTTTTAATTTTTAATCATGGCTTGATTTTTTGTTATGGTAAACAGGTCTGTTAGTTTTATACTGGTAAATTCTATAATCAAAATATATTTAGGTATCTATATTCTATACTTTCGAAACAAAAATAAAATTTTTATAATTTTTTTATCTACAATGATCATTATTTGTGGAAATATAATTTTACTGACTACCGAAACCATTATGCAATATTTGCTGGCCGCGATAGCCCTAAAAAAAGTCCAGGGCCAGCATATACTGTCTCTGCTGCCCCTGTCTACACTCCAAAACCCACAAGTCACAAGATTTCGTCAGTCTGTCTAGTGTCAATTATTGTTATGCACTCATGTCACAACTGACTGTGAAGCTTATAAGTTATAACATGTATGTATGATAGAAATTTTATGAATATAAAAACTAGTTTAAATTTATTTACTCCGCTTGGAACTCATTTCTCTCTTAAATTCAAATCTTGTAAAAACTATACATTTATAATTGAACTAAATTTTTATTTTTAACTATTTTACTATTTACGTATAACTCGTATAAGTTAGGTACCATATTTAATATTACTTAAACCGTTTTGTTGTTTGTACGAAAACATTTTACCACTCCTCAACAACCGTCAACCAATCACCAGTAATAAGGTTTAATATCTGTATTTTGTTGTAATATCTAACAGTTTATTTTTTCATAATATACCTAAACATTAAACAATAAATTCGTTTAGTAAAATATTGTTTTTTCTTAATTAGGAAAATAATTTATTAAAAATAGATTTTGTCATTTAATCTTCAATCAAGTAGGTAATATACATGATTTTTTTTTTATCATTTATTAAACAAATTTCAATTTAATGCTATGGTACTATGGTGGACCCAGTTTAGTTTTTTTTTCAAAATATATTACTAGGTATTTTGTGAAGTTAAAATAATTGTGATATTTTTAAATGTATTTTGGACCTGGGAATAAATTTAAATTAGTATTGGAGATCGAAAGTATTAGAGTGTAAAAGTACTTTCATTTATTTTAATTTTCCAGTTTTAACACCAAATTTCTAAACAAAAAAAAAGTGAAATTGTAGTTGGTTAGGTGCGATGATAGAATTTTCGTGAACTGAAAGAATTACTTTTTTTTACCGCCAGCATATTTATCGACAAATATGTTCGAAGTGGGTTGATTTGTCATGTTGTTAAATAAGATAGAAACTATTAATCGATATTAATGTTACATAAAATAGAATCAATATATTTTGAAGAAATTTAAAGCACAATAAAATAAATAGATAAATAGGTAGTAGGTACCTCCTACTTATATATTTTGCTGAAATACAGTTGAGAGAGTCGAAAACATTGAATATTTAAGCATGGGCGAGAATAGACCAAGTTTGACTCTCTTAAGCAGTGTTTTTTAAACTATACTTAGCGAAACTTCATTTTTTTTTTCAAAATATTTAAAAAATTACTTTAAACAATCTAATTAAAGATCAATGAAGACTAAAAGGAAGAGTTCATTGTAAAATATTTTAATATTATATAATAGTTAAGTTATTCTCGTCAAGTCCGATTTACTAAAAATAGTAAAAATTAAACTTTTCTTACAGCGTTTATTTTCAATCAATATGAGTAAAAACCGCATAAAATTAAATGATGTTGAGTTTCGTAATAAAGCTAAAGAAAATAATGAGCCAATTATTTCTAAGACCCTTAACAAGTACCTACTAATTTATACAATTTTGTTATATTGTTTTAATTAAAAATGTATAATTATTTTACGCTACCTGAACATGTCTAACTTTTTTTAACTTTGAATAGGTAGTAGAATTGTAGAAACTATGAATTTAAATGATAAAAAAAATAACTTATATTTTATTGTTTAAAAATTGAAATTATAAAGTCACGATTTATACATTTTATTTATACTAAACTTTTCAAAACTAGTCGTATAAAAAACTTAATTTAAAATACTCAAGACCACGATTTTATTTTATACATTTTTGTTATATTGTGTACTTTATAAAGGGTGGATTAGCACTGTTTGACATATATAATACATTTTATTACCTATATACCCAATGTCTAAATTTTTTTTTTTTTTATATATACTATAAAAATATTAACAATGTTTTTTCAATATAATTTAATGTTTTTAAATGGATGCAAGGGTTTTAAAAAGGGAAAATTTATAATTTGTCCAAAGGTGGCATGTTTGTTAACCTGGCACTGCTACTGACTATTAGTAACTAATAATTATTAAATACGATTTAAAATAATATATAGGTATGCCAAAATCAAGTGAACAGCAGTGCATAGTGGCTACTTCCCAGTGCCTACGAATTAAATTCTTACCCTATCGGTAACTTAGAGTGGAGGGGTACTGTATATTAGTTGCCCAGGAAACAAATCCAATACACACCGAAACAATAACCGTTGTGTGATAACATGGTGATAAATGTTGAAATTAAAAATAATACATTTTAAATAATAATTTAAAAATAATAAACTCTACACTCAACAATAATAATATTAAAATTTTTTGCAAAATTGACAATTGACAAACATCAATGTCGTTCTATCAGAAAGCAGAATAATATAGTCAATCATAATTGATTTTTCTAATGAAGGTAACTACTAATGACCAGCAATATATTATTTTAAATACAAATAAATAAATATTTTCTTGTTATGATGTGTGAATAATCATATATTTGTATGTAACTTATCACTTATCCTAATCCACAGAAACTATTGAAACTTGAAAATCACTGTGGAACTGGTGAAACACATTTAGCATGGCAAAAAGGAAGTGGTACTTATTTGGCTATTACAAGTACAGACCAGTTTATTGGAATTTACAATCGTAATGGAAAACTAATTGAAAAAATCAAAATTTCAGGGTAGGTTTATTTTATTCAATCAATTTACAATGTTTATTATTTAATGTGTCATTTGTGAATAGTGGATATACTGTTAAAATATTTAGAATTAATAAATATATTTTTGTATTTCAGAATATGTACTGGTTTAGCATGGGATCGTGATGGTGATTTATTAGGAATAATATGTGATGGATCATCTAGTTTTATGTTGTGGGAAGCTAATTCATCTAAGACTCAACAAATAAATCCAGTTTTCAAAGATAGCCTTACATGTATATTATGGTCGAAAGTCAGTCAAACTGTTGCTGTTACCTCAGCTAAAGGGAATCTAACAATTTATGACTATACAACTTCTAAGTAAGAATATAATTATTAGTTAGTTTTATTTTTTATTAATTGCTTACTTATTTAATGTATTTTAGACGATTGCCAATACTAGGAAAACATACCATGAGCATTACATGTGGTGAATGGAACCGAAACAATATACTAGCTTTAGGATCACAGGATCAAACAATATCTATAAATAATATTGAAGGGGACACATTAAAAATTATATCACTTAGGGGTGAACCATCTAAAATAGCTTTCTCAAAAATGAAGTCTGACCATAAAAAGCATTCTGAAGAAACAGTAAGTTACATTATTTTTTTTGTTTTATGAAGTTATTTTCAAATAATTTTGTTTTTGTTTAGGTAAGCGTTTTAGTAAGCAACAAAACATTATATCTTATTGATTTACAAGACACAGATAACCCTTTTGAACTAGCATTTAACTTAAAATATGGCTCTATAATTACTTATCACTGGTATGGAGATGGCTATATTTTAATTGGTTTTAGTGAAGGTTACTTAATATCTATATCAACCCATCCTAAAGAAGTGGGTAAGGAACTATTTCAAATAAGAAACCACAAAGAAATGTTATCTGATGTTGGATTATCTAAAATTGCTGGAAAAGTAGCTACATGTGGTGAATATACGTAAGTCATTATACTAATTCTAATTAATTATTTTTGTATTTTAACTTAAATAAAATATTTTATTAGAATTAAAGTACACGAGGTTGGTAAATTGCAAGAAACTACAGCAGTTCTAAATGTTGACGAAGGCAATGTTCTTTGTCATGTTTCATGGAGTGAAGATGGACGGCTTTTGGCTGCTACTACATCAGATGGTGGTGTTTATCTTTATTTAGAAGCTTTACCTATGTTATCATCGTCATACAATAACTGTGTTGCATTTTTAACTTCTTTAAACCAAGTCACTATACATTATTGCCATCCAGACAAAGTCAGTTCTTTTAATATCAAAAACATCGACTTATTGTAATATACTTATTAATAATTATTTTATAATTTAGAATCAACCTCCAAATATGGTCTCTATAACTACAGAAATGGAACCAAGTTTTTTAAGTATTGGTCCTTATCATTTAGCTGTTGGTTTGAATAACAGGATTTGGTATTATAAAATAAATATATCTGATCCAACCAAATTATCAACATCTTTACTTGGTGATCGTGAATATTTAGGTACTAT